TATAATACAAGCAATTTCACTCAATTTATAAACGCTAAATGATTATTCAATGATCTGGATGTAGATTGTGCATTTTCGAAATGGAGAGACATTTTTTTGCTCTAAAGTGAGAAATCAATTATCAGAATTGTTTGTGCCGCAGTGTCAGGTCAGAGACTTTTTATGGAAGAACAGATGCAGATGCGAATGCTTGGCCAGTGCATTGCAAGTACAGAGTACCTTTCTATATAATGTGCATTAGTAACAAAAATCTAGGGGTGTCCCCAACTAAGGAATTACATTTACATTACATGCAGATGCTTTTATCCAAAGCGACTTACAATTGGGGACAATAATTGTACTTTCACTGGAAATGCAAAAATGCTTTTTTAGAGTATTTTATCAACATGAGGGTGAGTAAATAGTGACAGAATATTCGGGTGAACTATGATTTTGATTACTCTTTTCACTGTGCCAGGACTTATAAAAAGAGCTCTGTACTAGTGTCAGCTAACTGTATACAATACTGAGGCCATTAAGAATATTTATGCATATTCTGACCACTTTTTACTACACCGCCAATGACATAATGACGTTCATAAATTGAAGTTATTGTGCACCAACAGTGACCACACTCATAAAAATATTTTGGGGGGAGGGGAGATTTGTGTTTCAATTTATTGGAGGATGGACATTTAAGCTATTACCTGCATCTGTATATTTTTGCTATGGAGTGGTAAGTGTAAAATGTAAAGCTTTAAAGCATACACATGCTGTGAATAGAGTTGAAAATATGCATGCACGTGTGTGAACATTCTAACACCTGTGTGCATGGACATTTAAACATGCTGGTTTTGTGAAATATGTGACTCTGAGTCTCAGTTTTGATACATGCACGCTTGTTTTCAATAATGGCCATCTGTATTTGGTGAGCCCGTAGGCTGTATGTGAAAATCCCTGCTTTACATGTGTGTGTTAATATGTCTGTGTTTTAATGCACCACATCCTTTGGTTTGAAGTTCACAACCTCCCTCAAGGCACCTTGATTTATGGCTCATATTTCAGCAATGTAATTATTCCCTCTTAGTTCATGTTTTTCCAGACGTGTTTTGCCTTTGTGGCTGTTCATCGTTTCTTTGGGGAACGGCAGGGCTCTTGTTGAAGGTGCCAAACCCGATTCATTAGCACGCATCAAAGACAAGCTCTCTCGAACCTGGAGCAAAGTCAGCTCGTGTCACACATAGTGCCGAGGCAGAGCTTTTCAAAATCCACGTTCAAAGTGACATAAAGACCTTGTTCAACATGAACAAATTATTTAGTGTTGAAGTGATGTGCCCAAGCAGCACTGTTTAAATCCAAAGAGAGCATTTCATGAATACAGAACATGTTTTTCATGTGTTAATTTACTGAGAAGTTTACTTTGATGAATTCATGCCATTCTGTGCCAGGGTGTTACGTACAGTGTGTTGTAATGCCATAATATTGCCTTTCTTTGAAAATATTCCACAGAAGGTAAATTAACACAAGTTTATGGGTTTATGAGTCTATAGCAGATCGTGTGTTTTGTTGGCCAGGAAAACTATTAAAATGTTCTCCCCACTCTTTCATTACACACTAGACGAGTCCAAAATGTCATTTTTTTTTTTACTGCTAATTGGATGTTCCTACTCTAAGTCATAAATTAAGGTCATTCTATGTGTACTTTAGAGCAATTAAAAGTTGGTAAAATGGGTTCTGCATTGTGTATAGCTTTTGGTTTGTATTCCAAGAGCATGTCACTGTTATGAAAAAATTTTAATCTCATTCGACTCAAAAAAAAAATTTGTTTAGTAGACTTAAATCTGAAGTATGTAATTTCTGTGCCACTAGTGTTACCACATGCATTTGCAAAAAAAAAAAAAATTAATTGTAAAATAAAATAATTGTTTTCCTGGACATTTCCCATGTCTTCCATTGATCGGCCAAACAGAAAGTCCCATCTAAAATTCACGCCATTGGTTGAGCCTGTGTTGCTGTGTTGGACTGGTCAGGATGCTCAAACAAACAGACCTATTTTGACAGATCCACAGATCCAAACTTTTTTTTGTGGTATGAAAAGTTGTATTCACAAAAATCTGTTTACCAGAAAAGAGGAAATTTAAAATTTAAACCCAAAACACAACTTCAGACAAAAAAAAAACAAAAAACTTAAAGTCATGTGATCACTGGACATCACACATACAATTGGTCATCTATATACTTCTATCCAAAAGAATCTTCTATCCAAATGAATAGCCGGCTCTCCATGTTGGCGTCTGCCTGTTTTGGTTAAATTCTGCCAAGTGGCAGATCAGGTTTCACACAACTCTTTGGTGCTGCAAAGGACCTTTGAAGAACCTTTATTTGTAATACTGAGGTGGACATCTTATATTCCTAATGTTAAGGAATTTTTATGAAGGATGAATTGACAGGAAAAGTTGATGAGATCTGTTGATTAAACATGTGTTGTCCAGACCTTCAGCATTGACTGTGTTTATCCTGTCTTTGTGTTACCCACCTGAGATAAATATTCCCCAATATTGCATCATAGAAACTTTGTGGGCATTACCTCATTACCTCCTTTCTTTGTACCCACTCCCTCCCTTTGTTCAAGCTGGTAAATGAGAGCAGACCCAGACCAGGCAAACCCTGCCAGGCGGCCCGTCCTATAAAGGCAGCATTGAGGCAGGGCACACACAGGCGCTTTTGTTGACAGTGTAAAGGTGTGCACCCTGCGGATGACCACGGGAGGGAGCAGACCCTACAGCCCTGCGGCATGTGTCCATCTGGAGGGTAGGGACATGGGTTAGATTAAAGAAACATAGAAACCGGGTGAATGCTGGGTAAACTTTACTTACAAGTCATTAACTCATATAGGCAGTTCAGCTTGTTATTTCACCATTTTACTGGGTGAAATAAAACCATTGCATTTTATATGCTGCAAGGCCTCATTCACCCCTAACACACACACACACACGCACACCAGACTTCTCCTTATGCCCAATGTGTATCCAATTAATGAGCAACTACTGCACAAGAGAGGAATGTTTCATTCCTGCCTTTGCTTTTTCCACTTTTGTTTACTCTTTCATTTTTGATTTTGATCACTTTTTACTTCTAAGTACTTAATCGTGATTCTGTTTGATTTTGATTACACTTCATACAGTTTCCATACGACACTCTTTAATGCAAAGTCCTATAACATTTATTTTATTTTATTTTCAAAACACACCGTTATTGTTTTCTTCCATCCTGTTCTTTTTTATTATTGTTCTTCTCATCACTTTGTTGAAAACATCTTGGAAACTGTCATCTTGAATGAGATGAAGAAACCGCTAAAGACGAAAACATGTCAAGAAGGGGGATTTTCAAAGACAGCGAGTCAAAGAGGGAGGGATGAAGAAAATATAAGGAATTCAGTTTAGGGAAATTTGGGGCTTTAATAGATAAAAAAAAAAAAGGTCATGTACATGTCATTCAGTAGAGTACATGGGACGGTGAGGTGTATTTGAATGTAGTTCTGTGTTTGTGTGTGTATGATCAGAGCAGGATCCAGTGTTGATGCTTTCTGAAACATGGCCATTCTGCACAGGCCTCACATGTGGAACAGTTTACTGCAGCCCTGCTCCAAATGAACACAGCCTTACAGAGCAACAGACTGCAATTGAAAGAGAGAAACGGCACAAAGAGACGGAGAAAGACAGAGAGAGAATAGTCTACTTATAAGTAGATTAAAAGAAGTGAACACTATAAATCGTGTCTTAATTCAAATCTAAATTGCAAGAAGGTACCAGGTATTGGACCTGCCAAATGAAAACAATAGATGTCAATGGAAACTCCTGATTTTAATACATTTACAACATTAACAGCTAGACCAGAGACTGTAAACATGATTCTTTAAAAATGCAATCTATTACAGTCATGTGTGTCGGTTATGAAAACTTGTATTTGTAATCTGTAGGAAGGTATGGAAAGTCAGCTTCACCATTTATGGGTTTGTGCTCTGGAACTTTCCATCAAGTCCTGATGGAGGCAGAAGGAGGGGGTTAGCGAGCGCTGGGTGCCCTCCACCCTGGGCATGTGGCAGTAGAACAGAGGCAGCTTTATTGAGCTGTGTCTCTGATTTAAATCATATGGCATCGCCTGGAATCACTTCATGGCTTGGAGGCCGTTCAAATGAATGCCCCAACAAGAGACTCACTCTATTTCTCCACCTCATTTCATCTGTTTGTTGGCTCTCAATTTCTTTCACAGTGGTTCTCACTAAAGCAAATGGTGTCATGTCTGTTTGATTATAATGTTTAGTCTTTTATATCTCGGATGTCTTCAAGGTACAATGTCTTATTTGAAGAAATTGGGTGTTCGAAATGATGAGGTCAAAACTTCAGTAGCTTCGTGTCATTTATGTGAAATGAGACAACTGATTTGTCAGGCCTGGCTTAGCTGTTCTCCAGTTGAGCTTGGCATTCAGGCTAGATTATTTGTAAAAAGATCTTTTGCTCAGACAGCAACATTTTTTTTTTTTGTGGCTTATCCAGCTCAAATCCATTTAGATGTTTACAGACCTGAGAGCACGAAACCACATAAAATCTGGCTTTTACAAACCCATACCCAACCACATTCATACGTGGTCTGAAATCAGATTGCAATTTCAGGTTCTTGGAAATGTGTGTGTTTCAATCTGAATGGTCATCTGTACTGTATATTTTATGTTTTCACTCTGACATAGAAGAGAGCCACAGAAGATAGTGATCTCAAAGCTGTCAGATGTAGACAGGTCAAATTCTGCATTATTTTTCTTTATATGTGTACATAACGTTCTTCTGTCTGACATTGCCAAGGAATCTGATGGATCCTGATTAATTTTATGAGAAAGCATTGCGCTGACCTCTTGTGCTGAACTGTTGTTAATAGTGCATAGGTGTCAGTTTTTGTTTTTAAATGCAGTTTTTTTTTTCTTTCTCTTGTGTTTTTCTGCAGGCATCTGTTGGATTATTGTGCATCAATTCTGGATTACTTGCTGAGATCATCTTCCCTCCAGATCAGTGCAACGCAAGCCAACAAATGTTTCTAATGGATTTAAGAGCTTAGTAAGAGAATTCCTTGTATAAAAAAGTGTCGAAGTGAGAAGATAGATAGAGAAGTGGTAATTCACCATCTCAACGAAAGGAACATAGGACAATCTTTGGACACTGGAGGACCACCCTCATCAAAATGGCAACCAATAGGGAGAGGTCTGTGAGTCATATGACAGGGTTCTACCCCTTTGCCTTCAGTTCAATGCGAAACCACTCCCCCTTCGATCTTCTGGCCAATGGCAGCCTATTTGGACGATTTGGGGCGGACCTTCCCAAAGATATGGCAGCTCTGTGTAAGTACATTTCAGAAGGACTTGATTTTATGAATAACATAACTGGAACTAATAGTATTTGTTCTTTTCCTATGTTGCTCTTAATTTATTATTATTAATAATTATTATTAATTTTTATTTATTATTTGAAGTAAAATTGTGAAATAGTATTACAGACTAAGTTAGCTGTTTTCTATTTGAACATATTTTATAAAGTACTTGATTCTTGTGATGCAAAGCTGAATTTTCAGCATCATTACTTCAGTCTTCAGTGTCACATGACCCTTCAGGATTATGCTGATTTGCTGCTCAATTATGATCAGTTATTATTCAATTATTATTCTTGGTAATCATGATATCCCCCCCCCGTCGCCCCACCCAAAAACAAAGAAACAGCATTTAACTTGCATACAAAAGAACAGCATTTATTTGGAATTATAAATTATAAATGCCTTCACTGTCACTTTTAGTCAGCAAAAACTGTTGTCAGCATTGATAATATAAATGTTTCTTGAGCAGCAAATCAGCATATTAGAATGATTTCTGAATGATGTAACACTGGAGACTGCAGTAATGAACTTAATTATTCCAAACGTTTGACTGGTAGTGTGTATATATACACTATATCTACACACAGTATATAAAGACAATTTTGGTAAAAGGAGGAGCAAAATAAATTAGGCTAAATTATACGATTCTACCAGTAACGTGTGCTTTGAGTTTGTTCAGTTCTGTGTGCTGGTGTGATTCAGGGTTTATTCTTGATGTCGGCCGTGTTCAGACATGCACAACCACTGTATCAAACAGACCACATGTCAGTCACCACCTCCTGGAATAATCCTGCCGAATCATACACACACACGCACACACACGCACACACACGCACACACACACGCACACATACGCACACACACGCACGCACACACACACACACGCACGCACGCACGCATGCACACACACACACACACACACACAAAGAAATGCAAATTCAAATTCTTTGCACTCTGAAGAATCCATATAAAACACAAATGTCCAGCCAGAAAAGAGTGAAAGATGAGGATACAACTCTGAACTCTGAGCAAACTGAACAATGCTTACATTCAATGAAAAAAGAATACACAATAAAAACACACAGGAAGTCACATAGCGGTCACAGGATGTTTGATGTATGATACCTTGAGACTGCTTCATATTTTGTTTTCCTGAGTGATAAAAAGTAGCGAAAGTAAAATAGTTGTGTCAACAGAGCTGAAACTACCCTGTGTGATTATCTCATTATGTGGTGCCTTCATACACAGACGCTCCATTAGCTCCATTTAATAAGAGATAACATCTACCCATCCCTCAGTCTATCCTTTCTTCTATGAGTGGGAACATACAGAAAGAGAGACAGATGGGCTAGACGGGTGGACGGTCTGTTTCTTTAAACAGCTGATCAGTCAATCGTACACAAAAGGGTATTTTAAAGCCTTCACCTGTCCTCACTCTTGAAATAAGACCAAGAAACCTATGAAAGTATGCAATGCAGACACGAATAATGATCAAAATCTTTGCAAGCATACAGTTCCGATGTACTTAAAATGGATAAGAAACCCTAGTATACTAAAAAATGGTCATCTTAAAATAATAGCATCTAAATTAACTGGTTTTATACATAGAAAATGGGTTAAATCACTGAATCAATCTAAATATGTAAATGTATACAAACAAAACTAATTTTATGGTTTTAATTTTATGGTAAAGTAACAATTACAGAATTACACGTTACAGGTTACAAGAACTGAACTAAAAGACAAAGCTAACCATAGAAGTAGACAGTTTATGTTAATGCATTTTACAGTGCCTCATGTGACATAATGCACGTGACACATAATGCAACAATGCACAAAATCCAGGTTGCACAGCTAAAAACGTTTTGGGCAAATCTCCAACAGCAAAGCAGTTCAGCAATTTTCTTATTAAGAACTTTTATACACACCACACCCATAATATAACCGTACTAGATAATGTGTGGGGTTCTGGAGTTTAACTATTTGGTTATTTGGAGATTCAAAAAATTCTTGATGTTTCATTATAGGATCTTCAGATGAGTGTATTGGTTTCTGGGATCTTTAAAGCACCACTAAATAAGTGGTTTATAAAGAGCTAAGCCAGAATGGAATAGTAGCTTACTGCTTACTTTATACTTTAGGAATAGTATGTGAAACAGTATGCAGTATGTAATAATGTAACTGCTTCCAAGAGTGGTATGCTGCAGTTTCACCTCCTTACATTTCAGATGCAGATTTTTTTTTTTCCTAATAAATATCATTTTGTATTTTAAATCCAATTTTCTGTAAAAATGTCAAGAAAGAGTTCAGAATTATAGTTCATATCAACTTCTGATGCATTCATGACTTTGGAAATGGAGTGCACAGTGGGAAACACTAAGGCAGTGTACCCTCGTAGTATAATACACATAGCATATGTAGTAAGTACAAAAATAATTGACAGAGTGAATGATATACATACTGTATACTGCAGAAATATTAGGAGTAATATGTTAAAATAAACATTTGAACTAAATAGCTTTGTAAATGTGATTAGTATGCAGTAAGTGCAGCTTTATCTTGCATATGCAAGAAGCTTATGGTGGATTCTTTGAAGTGTTAAGGTCAGTGGTTGAGAATGCTTCATTTTTGATGTGTTAAATATTTGCTGTTCTTTCAGTGGTGCTGGCATAGAAGCTGCTTAAGTTAAGTGTTTTTGCTTAAGGACACCTTAAATACTCAACTATACGTCTGCCAGCTCATGACATCAGCGCTGAAATATTATTCAGCCTCAGTACTGACAGCAACTCTATTAACTGTACATAAAAGACCACTTTACTTTTTTATTAGCTTCAGATTTAACGTCCTGAAATGTTAGAAGAATACTGAGAAAAATCTAGTATATATACACTGAACAAAATTATAAACGCAACACTTTTGTTTTTGCCCCCATTTGTCATGAGCTGAACTCAAAGATCTAAGACTTTTTCTATGTACACAAAAGGCCTATTTCTCTCAAATATTGTTTACAAATCTGTCTAAATCTGTGTTAGTGAGCACTTCTCCTTTGCCGAGATAATCCATCCACCTCACAGGTGTGGCATATCAAGATGCTGATTAGACAGCATGATTATTGCACAGGTGTGCCTTAGGCTGGCCACAATAAAAGGTCACTCTAAAATGTGCAGTTTTACTGTGTGACCACCATTTGCCTCACGCAGTGCAACACATTTTATCACACAGCACAATGCCACAGATGTCGCAAGTTTTGAGGGAGCGTGCAATTGGCATGCTGACTGCAGGAATGTCCACCAGAGCTGTTGCCCATGAATTGAATGTTAATTTCTCTGCTATAAGCCATGTCCAAAGGCGTTTCAGAGAATTTGGCAGTACATCCAACCGGCCTCACAACCGCAGACCACGTGTAACCACACCAGCCCAGGACCTCCACATCCAGCATCTTCACCTCCAAGATCGTCTGAGACCAGCCACCCAGACAGCTGCTGCAACAACCGGTTTGTCATGCCGTCTCATATGTAGTTTCTTCATCATATTTGGAGAAATGTATCATTCCATCACTTGCTCACTTATGGATCATCTGCACTGAATTGGTGCTCTCAGAATGAGAGTTCTTCAAAAGTTGCATGTTTGTAAGAAACAAATGCATCAAGACTTTTTAAACTTCAAACTCTTGCAGCTCTCCAGTGAAAAAAGTAATCTCATCTGAATCAGGAGAGAAATATGCACAAATCAAGCAACATTTACAAGTGAAAACAAACCAAAGCAGTTCTAAACAAATATATTTTGGTCAGAAGCAATGGTTTAAAGTTAAAGCATCCTAGTCATGGATTTGTTTCTTACACACATGAAGCTTTTCACTTTTGAATTGATGGACTGGAGTGGTGTGGATTGCTTGTGGATTATTGTGATGTTTTTATCAGCTGTTTGGACTCTCGTTCTGACGGTACCCATTCACTGCAGAGCATCCATTAATACACTGCATAAAATGCAGAATTTCTCCAAATCTCTCCCGATGAGAAAGCAAACTCATTTACATCTTAGGTGGCCTGAGAGTGAGCAAATGTTCACCCAAAAATTTCACTATTCCTTTAAAATACAAGACACTTGCTCTGTAGCTCTACTGTCCCCAAAGGACAAATATGATATATTAGTTTAACTTTAGTTTTCGTTAGTTCATTAAGTGTGACTGGAAAGTGTTTTTTCTCTCTCTTTAACGATATTATTGAATACAATGGGAAGTATGGAATACTTATCAATGACACTTAAGTCTCACATTCTCACTCAAATAGTAGCTTGTGCATAACATGCACAAAATGGATTGCATCTGTCATACAAAAAAAGCAGTCCTTTATCGCACGCACACACACACACATCTGCAGATGAGGTTGGGAATCTAGTGCAGCTTCTGGTCTCAGAAATGTTGAATGTGTTATGGAAAAAGAGGTAGCATTTTGAAACAAATGGCACATTTTTCTTTTAAAAGCGAGGCAGAGGATGGCCAAATGCAAGAGGTTACTGCAGGACTGAGGCTGTGAAAGCACAAACTCCACATTGTGCCTCTTTATTTATTTATATAGAATTGGAGTGGAATTTCTGAGGTTTGGCCTAATTCTTTAAACCACCAGTGGTGTGTGTCTGTGAGAGAGAGAGAGAGTCAGAGAAACAAATTAGAAAGAGTGAGTGTTTGCATGATGGAGGATTCTAGTAAGCTAATTTGAATAAAATAAAGATTGCAAAGTTATGCTTACCTTTTTTATAACTGTAAAGCAAGAAAGGAAGAAAGAAAGGCAGACAGAAAGACTAGGTGGTGATAGAGATCAGGCGGCTTGTGCACATGCTGCAGGGAAACTGTCCCATCACAAGTTAGCTGGCATGACTTACTGACATTAAAACAGGAGCGAGTCGATCGCATTTATGTCAGTAGCATTTGTCAAGCTGTGCTTAAATCTTTCTGTTTGTTCAGTTAGATGA